CACAAAGGAATTCTTATTCAACCACCTCATCCCTGTACAAAAGCTACAACGTATATATAATATACAAATGTAATAATGGGTACAATAATGATAAGCATAATGACAGACCGTTACATCCGTTACACTAATAATGTCCACTTAATATATATATTTATAACACTCCCCCTTGGACATTATTTGTCCACATTCGTGCCTCGTTAAAAACTTGCTAGGAAAACCCTGTGGGGAAAATCCTAGACAAGAAAAGAGTACAAGATTTATGGGCAATTATATTTATGCCTCGTTAAAAACTTCACTGGGAAAACCACGTGGGAAAAACCTAGTTGAAGAAAAGAGTACATGATATTTGGAAACTCCTATATTGTTTTGGTTGCACCATTAAAAACATTAACTTAAGAAAACCATGTGGGAAAAACTTAGTTAAGGGAAAAATAGTACAACCATAAGCCTTCAAGGCATAATCTTCAGGATTTTGGGGTTTGTCTATTTAAGTATTTACTTGCAACCTTCCCCATTGACATTACTATATCATACTCATGCCTCGTTAAAAACCACACTAGAAAAACCCAATGGGAAAAAGGCTAGTGAAGAAAAGAGTATATGGTATGTATATGTTGTAAAAAGTACAACTGTTAGTCTTTTAAGACCCAATCTACAGGATTGATTCGAGTGAATATACTTCCCGTCTCCCCCTGAAGATAACAATCTTCAAGTTCTACATGGCTTTAAAGTGAAATCATTGTTTCAAAAAGTGTAGAGAGGGGATATAGTACAATCTTCAGGATTGTCATTAGAATTTATCATTTTATACTATTATATCGTGACTCTTCTAGAGAATACATGGGTTAAATATTTATATAACTTGTCTACTATCTTTCAAATATATCCACTTAGCGATGAAGTAATGGACTTCTAGTCCCCGAAAATATGCTCATTATCTAGATAGTCTTTTATCTGTTTTGAGATATTTGAACGGCAATTAATGTACTGAAGGATATATTTAGGACATCTTCAAGAGGGACTTATAGATATCCTTCTAGGAAACGATATTTGAGTTTCCCAATCACATATAACATTACTAGGCATGATAATATACTTTCATACTTTCTTCTTTGGAGAAAATACCTTTAGTCAATTTATTGACTATAAGAAAGATCATAGTTAGTAACTTACTAACTTTTATACTTCATATTTTTGTGATTTTCAATCATCACAATTTGAGAAAATCCATTACGGATTTTGAATATAAGTAGTCAGTTACCCATATAAATATGTGATAACTATGTCTATTAGCTACATATCTAATTTATTTACTGGTAGTTTTATTGAATAGAGGAATATAAAGCCATGACTAATATTGGGTCTCTGCGAAAACCCTCAACTCGCTTTTTATTAGCAAGTTTTGAATTGTATGCCTTAATTGTTATTTTCTATCAAAACAGTTAGCACGCTTCGGGCGTTATACTACTGTTTTAATTTCTGGATCCAGATTTATGAGCAATAGAGGCAAAATATGTTGTCGATAACTGTAACAGCTTTGTAAATATCTTTTATACGCATGGCAATTTTGTATCAACCAAATATATGGCATTTCCCAAGAGTATTTGAATTTGGTTGTTCCGCTTCCCCAGTATTTTAGTTATTTGATGCACCTACAATTTAACTAGGGTTTTCGCCTTCTAGACGAATATCTTCAAGATAAAAATTTCTATATTTCAGGAGTGACGAAATTTCTACACTAGCTCTAGTTTTATAAATTCTTAAACCAATAAATTTTATATGCTTCCAGCATAAAGAAAAACGGTAGAGATTGTTAGTCCTAGTTGGGGATTTCAACTTTTAATGTATATGAAATTATTTCTGTGGACTTAGTCACTCCTTGAGATTTCTAGCAGATTATTTGTTCAATGTTTGAACTTCTGATTCTATAAGACTAGTACATGGGTTTGAAGATTTTTCATCGCATGAAATTTTCTCAGGATTTAATTTAGGAACTTCAAATCTCCCCCTAATGCCGAGAAAAAGATCTTATTATGCAACCAGCATTGCTATTGATTTCTCATGATGGGCTATAGGTAGAAGGGTTGCATAAAAATTGAACGCAGATAGGGAAATGCATCATGTACTAGCGTTTGTGATATGTAATGGATCAGCATATTGGTTTTTCAATTTTGAAGGTCCCCAAAAAAAGACATATTTCCTCCAAAATTGCTTAACTTGCCTGTGACACCCCATAATCCAAATTCAATTAAGGGATTAATTAAGGAATTAATCCTAATCCAATTGATAATTTAATTCCTTAAATTCCTGAAAATTCAATAGTCAGGGACTAGTAATTGACTAGTCAACCCAAAGTCAAAAGTTGTACCTAAAGCTTTGTGAGTTGTTCCCTTGTTCCCTTACACATTTCATCTTAGTAAGGGCAAATAAGACATTTCCTTGACAATAGTCTTTCAAGCTAACTTAGAAAGACACATTTCATTTCTTCAAACACACTCCAAGAGAAAAATCATAAGCTCTCTCTCTTCTCTCTAAAAGATAGTTAGCTTTCTTTCCAAGCCACACCTAGGGCTACCAAGATCTTTCAAGTTTGCTTTCAAGATTCTACCTTTTATACTTTCGAGCATCTAGGAGGGTAAGATCTAAGCTCCTCTTGTGTTTTTAGTGTTTTCTAAGGTATCTTTTTATAAAGGTGAAATCTTTATGTTGTTTTGGTGTGTTCTTGAAGTGGGTGTGGAAAGGGAACCTTGTTGAGAGCTTTGGGAAGTGTCTAAAGTGAAAGTTGAGTCTTCAAGAGGTAACCCATGCTCTACAAAATCTATTTTGCTTACCCATTTGATGATTCTTGGATTCTACATGTGATTTTGCTATGAAATGTGAGTGTTTATGCATTGTCTTGTGAAAATGCATATCTAGAGCTTGTGTTTAGGGTTCATGTGTGCCATTGCTTGGCTATTCCTTTGATTCAAGTCATTTTGTTGTATTTGGTGAGATTTGGAATGTTTTGGACTTGAATTTGAGCTTGGTGTTGAAAATCCCCGAAGGGATGTTTTGGTACAGGGTAGTGTACCTGCGGGCGGAACGGCAGTCAGAGCTCCACCCGCCACCCCACCCGCGGGGTACATGGCCGGTGGGTGTTGTACCCGCGGGCGAAACCACGGGTGGGGGTCTATCCGTGGGTCCACCCGCGAGGAACAATGTTGGCTTGTTTGGGGATTTATTCCCCGTGATTCTTTTGACTCGGCATTTGGTCTTTTGACTTCCCGTTGTTCTTTTGTGGAATTATTTGAGCGTCTTCTTGATGTTACGTATGTCTAGAACTATATGGTAGGAATCCATGTAGGTTTTGGTGTCGTGAATCGTGTTAAGTGTTCAACATTGTGATTCGTTGAACCGTGGTGAGTCTTGTGTGTTCTTCGAAACTACGTTTGGTTACCTTTTTGATAAGCATACTAGTTCGGTGTTTAAATGCTAGCATGTGTGTTGTTTGTACTTTCCTATTGGTTGATGATGACTTGTGTTAATCATCATTATTGTGGCTGTACCTGGATTGCACGATTAGTGGTATGGGACACTAGTCACCAAGGTACGGCAATGGTCCTCGTGGTGGCCATGACGTGATTATGGAGTTTGTGACCTGTGTGTCGGGTTCACGTATTTCTTGGGAGGCATGTGTTGCCAAGGCATGTGTTGCCATGTGTGTGATCGGTACCCTCGTGTACTATGAAATTGGTGGTTTTGTTGGTTGTCGTTGGAGGATGGGGACGACGGTCCTCGGAGGGAAAAGGTTGGACTTGGTGTACAGGGGTCCTGGAGGTAATGGTTGGAACTAGACATAAGGTTCGGGGTAGCCATAAGGTTGGAACCGGGCATAAGGAAGGCATATCAATTCGTGATGGGTGATGTCACGAAGGCTTGTGTAGCCGTTGTTGTGTGTTTCTCTATTTTGTGACGTGTGATGTCACAAAGGCATGTGTTGCCAATGGTTGTGTCCTTATCCTTTGTGTTATGCATGTCGGGTGTTAATCTACTGTGTGATGGTAGATTATACCTTGAGCCGTTCTTGTGAGTCGTTACTGCTTCTTATTGTTTTGGGATGTGTTCCCTTATCTTTATTGTGAGTGTATAGAGTCTTGTGTTGATCTCTATCTCGGCTTTTGAAATTGATATATACTATATCCCGTTTCGCAAATGATTTTGTATATATAAACTATCTACTTATGATATTTCACATGTATTGGTGGGTTACCAGCATTATTCGCTGATCGGGCGTCGTCCCATATCTTATGTGTTTCTTTCAGGTGATGTATAGACGAGAGCGCGGTCTAGAAACTGTTAGCTTAGATCCCTTTGTTTTGAGACGTTGTGGCCTGTGTGCCAATGTTAGACATTAGTACTCTTGTTTCTGCATGGATTTAGATTGTGGTTTATGCAGATGTTTCGCCTGTGCGTTCACCTTTGGGTGGGCGTGGCATAACACCCTTTATTTCCTATTTATATAATCCTTGCTTAGTCTTCCGCTGTGTATGATATAATGACTAGTTATCTGCATGTCTAAGGCTTAATTTAGCATGGAAATTCTGGGGTGTTACAGTTGGTATCAGAGCCTAGGTTGATAAAGTCTAGACTTCTAAGTGGCTAAATATGGTTTGAGACCTTAAGGTGACCATAAGAATCTAAGTGTTAGGCTTAGGATTCTTAGGATGCGCGGTGAGCTGAGCGTTGTTTATAGTTGCTTGCTTGTTTGTTGCCTTGTTGGTAATCGTGTTGTTGTTGTAGAAGCTTGCGATGCCTCCTCGTCATCGTGCGCGTACGCCGGAGACCCCGACGAATGAGCAGCTTGCCCAGAACCTCCAGCAGTTGACGCAGACGACGCAGACCCTTAGTGAAGTCTTGTTGCAGAACAACCATCCCGTGCCACCTCCTCAGCCTGCCGGGCATAGGGACGTGGGCGTCTCGTGTCGATTCACAGGCCACCGACCTTTGCAGGTGAGGAAGATATGGTTATCTTGGAAGAGTGGATGAGGACGTTTGACAAGATCTTCTCGCTTGTCGGTTGTCTGGAAGAGCGAAAAGTAGAGCTTGCAACGTTCTACTTCTGTCTTGAGGCCGATCTATGGTGGATGCATGAGGGCCTAGCTTGCCTTAAGGAACCTGAGTTTAGTTGGACTACTCTCAAGGATTGGATGCGCGAGAGGTTTTATCCTGCGCATGTGCAAGCCGTGATGTACGAGGAATTCCTCCATCTCCAGCAAGGATCTCTATCAGTGGTTGAGTACCACAAGAAGTTTCTTGAGCTTGCGCATTTCGCCTGGATGCTTGTGCCTACGGAGCTCGCCAAGGTCGAGAAGTTTGTAGCTGGCTTGAACTACGAGGCACGGAAGGCCCTAACGGTGAGTAGGCCGAGTTCTTTGAAGGAAGCATACCTGAGTGCCGCGGATCTGTTCCGTGTTCAGCAGCTGCAGCGAGGATCTTATGAGCTTGCAAGGAAAAGAACCGAGAGTGGAGGCTCTTCCAGTTTCAAGAAGCCTAGGCCGAGTTTTCAAGCTAAGAATGCACCATCTCCAACCCAAGGACCCAACCGAGCGGAGCATGGAAATCAAGCCAAGACGTTTCCTTGCCGTAGATGTGGAAAGGTGCATGCTGGTCAGGATTACAATGGCCAAGCATTTCGGTGCTACCGTTGCGGGGATAGGGGTCACAAGGTCGCCGAGTGCCCTCAGCAAGTCAACCAAAGGGCGTTGCCACCACCCCCAGGAGCCGGAGGAGCAGCATAAGCTAGTTCGAGCCGTGGAGCAGCTGGGTCTAGGCCGTCAGGAAGGGTGTTCGTGATGGGTCGATCGCAGGCAGAGATCGAGGGCTTGGTGGAGGAAGAGCTAGCAGGTAACCTTTTTCTAGCCTACCCTTGTCTTTAGTACTGTTAGGAATAAAGTGTAATGGTTTTGATATGCCAAAGTTGTATTTGTAGATCCCCCAATTTTGTTTCATAGGTCTAGCGGGAAATTATTTAAATTGGAAAAAAAGAAAAACAGAGGAAGATGCATGAAAATAGAAGAAGAAGAAATAAAGCCTAAAATCAAGAATTTGTCTGGAGAAAATGACAAATTGAAGAAGAAGATGAATGATATGAAATCACGTCAATGCTACTCAAAGAAGATATCCCAGAAGAATTTTCGTGAAGAAAATTAGTATTGGAAGAATGCATGAAATTGACTTGGAGATCAAGCATCTATGGAAAGAAAGGAGTACATCAAATGTGATTGGAGATTTAATCAAAAGTTGTATGGACGAAATGGATGATGCTTGATATATTATGCGAAATGGCTCAGGTTCAAAACTTACCATCAATAATTTTACAAGGTAAAAGGTAAAATTTGAGAAGCCAAATTAAATTAATCTGATGGAGTTGGGCGCTAGTTGCCGATTACAAGTGAAAATTGGGAAGGGAGTGGATTTCATAGCAATTGAAATTGGGAGCTAGTTCGAAACCAATTGAAATTGGGAACAAGTTTCACATGAGAATCAATTCAAGATGGGAGCCAATGTAGAAACCAATTGAAATTGGGAGCAAGTTTCACATGAGAATCAATTCAAGATGGGAGCCAATGTAGAATTGAAATTGGGAACCAATTGAGGTTGTAGTATGGGATGCAATTTCAAAGTTGGGGACCGATTCAATTTCAAAGTTGGGGACCGATTCAAAGAAGACATGGAGATCAAATTGAATTGAGATGAAATGGGAGCGGATTTCATAGCAATTGAAATTGGGAGCTAGTTCGAAACCAATTGAAATTGGGAGCAAGTTTCACATGAGAATCAATTCAAGACGGGAGCAAGTTTCACATGAGAATCAATTCAAGACGGGAGCCAATGTAGAATTGAAATTGGGAACCAATTGAGGTTGTAGTATGGGATGCAATTTCAAAGTTGGGGACCGATTCAAAGAAGACATGGAGATCAAATTGAATTGAGATGAAATGGCAATGCAATTTCAAAGTTGGGGACCGATTCAAAGAAGACATGGAGATCAAATTGAATTGAGATGAAATTCAATACCAGGAGAAGTCTGGGAGCCAATTTCGAAGTCAAAAGTCAACAAATCAAATTGGGAAGCAATTGAAAGCACCAGGAGCAGTTTGGGAGCCAATTGCAAGTCAAAGTCAATTGGGAGCCAATTACAATGGAGAAATTCAAATTGGGTGCCAATTACAAGCCAATTGAAATTGGGTGCCAATTACAAGCCAATTGAAATTGGGGGTCAATTACAAAGGAGAAATTCAAATTGGGTGGAAGTTCAAAGCCAGTTTGAAGTCTGAGAACACCCAGACGTGACGTGAGAATGAAGAAGATGAAGATGAACTTACAGTGAAAATATTCTCACTAGGAAAAATACTAGTTTTAACTAGTATGAGATTAAATTGATGAATATTTTTAAATCCCAAAGATACAAAGACCACTCCAGAGCTGATCAGAGAAGCCATTCTACACCAAAACTGAGATCCAGATATTCCCACTCAACGTTAAACCAGAGGAATATCATATGAAGTTTGGGAGCTCATTTACATAGAGATGAAGCTCTAACAACGGCTAGCTTATCCTTTCTGACATCTTTGCAGAAGATAAGATAAGATCTCTGACAAAAAGATACAAGATTTCAAAAATGAGAGCGTCTCTTTCCAACGGACAGATTCTCATTACCAGCTATAAAATGATGAAGATATGAAGACTTGAAGAAGTGTGAAGAGCAATAGAGCAGTTGAGAAAACTCACGAACAAGAGAGCAGAAAATTCGAATCCATAAAAGGGATCGAATAGAGCAATTAAGCTTGAAAGAGCATAGAGCAAAAATCTCATTTGGTACAGAGCATACCAAAAATCTTCAAGTGAGAAGTGAGAAAAGAAAAAGAACTCAGAGAGCTTCAAAGAAAAATATTCAGAGAGTTCTTAAACAGAGCAAAGCAGAGCAAAAATATCAAGTGTTTTACTTGATATATTCAAAGAGAGAAAACACTCAGAGCTATCAAGAGAAATCATTCCAGAGTGTTTATTTTCATCAAAGAGACCTGCGCATCATTGAAGATCATCTACAGAGTCTCAGAAGTTGGAAGCAAGACAACACTTGTTTTGGAGCAAAACAAGAGAAGGGAGGAAAGTAGCACGGAGCTGTGAAATCCTGGATTGTCACACGGAGCTATGAGATCCGAAGCAGCAGTGTCGGAGGCACGGGCGTGATTGGTGTGGGCTTGGTGATCAAAGCACCAGATCACGGGATACGTTTCTACCGGAGTGTGGAAGACGGGGGGAAAGTAACGCGGAGTCGTGAAATCCTGGGATAGTAGCGCGGCGACGTGAAACCCGAAGCAGCAGTTTTAGTGTCACTGGGCGTGATTAGTGCGGGCTTTGTGATCAAAGCACTAGATCACGGAAATTCATTGTATCTTGGAACCAAGAAGTGGTAGATATAGTGAATTGCTCTTGGAGATAAGAGCAAGTGGAGTAGGAGGATTACACCACCTCGCGAACCACTATAATTGTCTTGTGTTCTTTACTGCTTTCTTTACTTACCGCTCTTTACATATTCGCTCTACACGAGATATACTGCTCACACAATCTCACACACACTTTATGTTTATTTATTTCCACTGTGTACCATACGCTAACAATCTAGTTAAGAGTTTTGGTTTATCTCTGGCTTAGCAATTGTTGTGCTGTGCGAAAAAGTTTGAAAGTCTATTCACCCCCCCCCCCCCCCCTCTAGACTTTAACCTTACCTCTTTTGGGACCAACAATTGGTATCAGAGCCTGTAGCCTATTTGAGTCAGTTTATACCAACCTTTGGTATTAAAACACGTTGCCTAACCGGGTTAACTGTTTTTGACTGCTAGGCTGATCCATTCTACAAAGTGTGTGAATTGGATTAATCTTTCATATCTCTCGTGATGATGATGATGAAAGATTTAGCTCAAAATCTATTATTCTCACTTGATAAATTTGATGATTGGAAAGTTCGTATGCAGGTACACTTATCGGCCTTACACGATGAAATGTGGGAAGTTATTTCCACTGGCCCTATAGAAATATTAAAAATCAATACGGCGTTTGTTATATCCCCGGATGCTCCACAGTACGTACAAAAGCCAAAACCGGAATGGACATCGGACGATAGAACGCGGAATAATCTTGACAATATTGCTAAGGATATTATATTCAAAGCCGTTGATGATACAATATTTCCAAAGATCCGAAAGTGTGCCACTGCCAAAGAAATATGGGAAACTCTCATCAAGATTGGCGAAGGAGATGAACAAGAAAAAGACAATAAGCTCACAATCTCCATGAAGAAGTTTGAAGATTTCAAAATGCTCTCAAATGAAAGTGTTGCAGACATGGAAGCTCGAATGATCAAAGTTCTTGGAGAGATTAGTGATCTTGGCAAAAATATTAGCCAAAAAGAAATTAATCTCAAAATCCTACGAGGCTTACCATCTGCATGGGATATGAATGGTTACGGCTATGCGCGATCACCGAGATCTAAGAATGTTGTCAACAGACAAATTATTTAGTGATCTAAAAGCATATGAGTTCGAAAATGAAGGCCAAAGATGATGATGTTCATGAAGCTCGAAATGCTGCTCTAATGGCCGAACAACCGTCAACCTCCAGGTCAGTAGAAAATAATGTTGATTTTATGACTGACGAACAATTTGCTCTTTTTGTGAAAATATTTAAAAGGTTTATGCGAAAAGGAGACAACAAAAATTCTGCTCGTGGAAAATTCATCTCTCGCATAACACAAGAAGAAAAAGTCGAAGAAAATAAGGATTTGTGCTACAATTGCCGCAAACCCGGACATTTTAAAATAAATTGTCCGTATCCGATCGTTAGCAAGTATCAAGGCAAAAATGTTGAATCTACGTCGAACAAATCCGAAAGCAAAAGGTTCAAGCGCGACAAAAGAAAAGCTCTCGATTAGCAACGAACCGAAACGAAAATGATGATTCGGAGGAATCATCATCAAGCGATGAAAGTTCATGTTCGGATGATGATACGACGCTAATATGCAAGTCAATTGAGTTGAGTACAAGTGAAGATTGTCTTATGGCTCTTGACGCAGAGGAAGAAGAGGTAACATCTAATTATTTCAATTCTGTTAATTCTTCTTTTTCTCGTGAATCTATTGACAATCTAATGCGAGAATGTCAAGAGATTATGCTCACTCATCCTCAACTCAAGGAGCGCAATAATATTCTAATTCTTGAAAAAGAAGAAATGAATAAAAAAATTGCAAGATGCTTTACTTGAAGTGAGTAAATTGAAGAATGAAAATATTCATCTTCAAGAAGAGTGTAAAGCTAAGAGAGGTTAGAGAACATAATCTTAGAGCTACTATTGCTACGTTCACTAATTCGTCTAAAATTATAGATAAAATGGTGAGCATGCAAAAGCCATCAGGAGATAGAACCGGAATCGGTTATGACTCCACATGTTCTCAAACCTCTCAAAATCTGACTAATTCTACTACTACTTTAAATAATAAAGTTCAAGTGGTAAAATTTGTTAAAAGTCAGAATAGCACGATGAGACAAGGACTTGGCTATCAATCAAACGCAAAGTTGAATGTTGAAAGGCCGAAACAAGTTTATGACTACGGCAAAGCAACAAAAATTCTACAAGCAAAGATATGCCAAAGAGTCAAGTGCAAAAAGATTTCATAGAAAAGAGGGAAGCTTTTCTAGAAATAAAGTTGGGAGATTTTATCCCACTCAAAAAGATTGGT